GTATACGTAGAATTTTTGATGAGCATAGTGACCGCGGGTATTTTTTATATCCATGAGTAGTAACATCTTTTTCAGGTTTTTTTATGTATTAGATTGTACTAATTACTTATAAAATTAAAATATCTTCAATATAAATATTTGCAAAGATAAAATATGTATACGAATATCTACATGAAAAGGTAAATTACAAATACTTATAAATAATTATTATTATAATGATTTTGAACTTTCCATAGTAGAGAAGACGGATACCCTCCGACTTCGTTGCTATGAAAGATGCAGTTATTACTTATTGATATTCGTGATATATTTTGTTATAATAATTAATAATTAATAACTTTCAATTTCATCTTCCCTTTCATAATAGTATTAAATATAATTATGGACTTCAGTAGAGTTTGAAATATAATAAATTAGAATTTTTTCTGCAGAAAAATGTATGAAATTTTATATGCAAGAAGATACTTCGCGATATTATTATAACTATACTAGTTATAATAATAATAATTTAACTACTATTATTATTATAACTATATACTATCAATTATAATAATGATTCCAAATCAATTTGCACGTGTAATTTCTACAAAATTAAATGTATTTTTTCTCAGTTATTAATATTAGCTGTAAATATAAATATAATACTTTTTACGCAATGGTCGCTAGTTATTGTCAGTCGATTTCAGGAAAATGGTACGTAAATTAGAGTTGAAAATTGTGTGTTAAACTTGGATGTCGGAGGCGTCCTGGGACGTCCTCTCTAGTGTAGGTCTGTGCCCGAGTGTTATGTGTGAGAACCGTGAGTGTGTTGATGCGCCTGTTTTGCCATTTTTTAAATGTTTCCACGCGGCGATCATCGTTCAATATCAAACATTCGTAATTGTTTTGCGTTAAGATAGGAATACAGAAGAAAGAAAAAAAGATAGAAAGATAAAGCCACCCGTGGTCGTCCAGAGTCTTCGCAGCTTCACGCTCGGATTTGTCCGTGGGAGCAAAAGTAAAAACTCGTAAGATTACAGCGATCGTCAGTACGATAAGAAGCCGATTGAATGAAAATCCACAGGAGACGATCTAATCTAACTTGACGTTTCTTCTGTCGACTCCTGCCGGGTTTCTACGGATATATACAATTAATAATCTTTTAATTTCCGATGTGCCTACCGAATGCTGACTGTCACCGAGAATTCCAATAAATTGTGGTTTTACGAGATTTCGTAGATCTATTGAGAAACATTACTAACTTCGCTTGCTTACCGCGGTGCATTAAATCTAATTAAATATACAATTACGAAATTGTTCCATCAACATCACTATAAACACTTCACACTGCTTGCATATTAAACGATATATAATAATATACAATAATATATAATATAGGTACTCCATTCGCGAAAGTGCTGATCTCATACGTTAAACTTGCGCCATTATGACAGTGGAAATTTCTGATAAGAATTGGAAAGCTTATTAAATTATAGCAGATAACAAAAACAGAATAATATCATTTCATCCATAAGACATACAAAGATAATTACGTAGATTGCCTCACTCGATATTCTATCGAAGTATTAACAGAAAGCAACTGAATTCTGCGTCGTGAAATCGTATACTAAAGTGCATCGAGTTTAGATTGTTGTGTGCTGTAGTATCTGTAGTAATGTATCTAATGCATCGTTATTATACTTTCAGTCATGAAAGGTACAAAGTAATCTATTTTATGTAGGCAT